ATTCATAGTCAAATGAAAACTGCTGTGCATAAAATTGAAAAGTCCAAAACTGAAACAAACTGATTGTTTTTCAGAAGAGCTGGAAGTTTTAGTCATAATCCCTAAAACCTTTCCGTATTTTGTGTGAGCATTGTTGTTTATCAGTTGTTGTATTACATTAACCATAAGGACATCTTTAATACAATAGTAGGCATAGAAGATTAGAGGCTGGCTAGAAAGACATTTGAGCTCATCTTATAAAATTTATTTAGTGCAGCCTTCAGTATCATGTATACATCAGAGAATCCCACTGCCACAGTTTAGAAAATACGTTAAAATTGAAAGTAGAGACCCTCCTCCCCTAAATATTTAAAGAGTTCTTCTGCTGTGTGCCGGTTCTCTTAAACTGTGTAGAAACAATATTTGGATTGTTCAAAATTAATCACTGCATGGCCTTGGCTTACACAAAACTTTTCTACCGACTCGGTTAAGAATACATAGAGGAACAGCCACGTCATACTCTTTGGTTAGGAATCAGGAGCATGCCTGCATATTAAAACCAGTAATTTATCTTAAAACAAAAGGAATTGCATTTGTACTCTAATGTTGTTTCCAATAATGCATCTCTAAATGCAATAAACTACACTCAATTATATAAAAATATGAAAGTTATATTTATTCTTTGAACTCTTCTAGAGTACGTTACTTTTAGAAAGGGATGTATCAGAAAAGTTTTCTGTTAAAAAACTATATAATTTTTTTTTCAAATTTTAATACTGGAAATTAAGTAGACCAAGTATCTAGAGTTGAAATAATATTTTTGTTTCTTAGGTTAGTACAAGGGATTGATTATTGTAATTTTCTCAACAAATTTCAATAGTTTATGTACAAGATTCAACTGCAGGTATCAAACTACTATGGTGCACAGTACTGACTTAATTTTGCTCAAAGAGCAGGGCTAATCTGTCCCTCCCTATTGTAATTAAGCCTAAAAGTGATCACATTGGGACATCCATATATTCACTGTCTCATAGAATAAATTAAAGACTCTTCCCATAAGCCAACATTATGTAAAAGATCTATCAAGTTGGAAATAATATATGTTAGCATGGGGGGAAAATAACATCTTTATATAAAGGCTTATGGCTAAGGCATCTATAATAAAAGGCAGATTAAGAAGAGGAAGGTGTATAAATTTATTTAATAAAATTTTATACAACAGAGAAATCTTCATAAATGAAGACTCAGAGAAACAGAGCATGTGTGCTATTTTATGCTAAGTTGGATGAGGCAGAGTCTTGTGCTGTGTGACTGGACAGCAGGACAGACCAACCTAATGGCAACACACTGAGAGGGCTGGCCAGACAGCTCAGCGGATCCACGTGCCTGCTTAGGCAGACGCAGGGACTGGGATCCTGTCCTCTACATGCCGTGCCAGCCCCACTCCCGGGGTGCGCTGAGACTGTGATTGAGAATGGGTGTGGTGGTGCTCATTTCTACTGCTTCATATGAGAAGGGCCTAGCCCTTTAAGATGCTCATTTTTGTACTGGGTCTTTAAATTTGGGAGGGTCTCTTTTGAATTCTTTAATCTAGATCCTGATCCTTTGTCTGAGGAACAGATTGCAAGCTTTTATCTCTTCTGTGGATTATCTCTTCACTCTGTTGGTGGTTTCTTTTGCTGTGTAAAAACTTTTTAATAATATTAAATTTCAGTTGTTGATCCTTTGTAATATGTCCTTTACAATCAGGACTTGGTTCACGAAGTCTTTGCCTACACCAATGTCTTCAAGTCTTGTACCTATTTTATCTTCCAGCAGATTTTCTGTTTCTGTTTTCCTATTTATATCTTTGATCTATTTAGGCATTAGTTTAGTGCATGGTAAAAAAAAA